CATACGCCTGCAGGACAATTATGATGTGGACAATGGTGGAAGCCGGAAAATGATCTAGAAATAGTGGGTAAAACCATAGCTAAACGTTTACAGGAGGCTAGTTATCATGATTTATCATGGCAATATATGATCATACTTATTGTGTTGTTTAGTTTCTATTTATCAGTATCATATTTCGAATATGTTTCTCACACCTCTGGCTTGTACAACAGAATGGTCATATGATGGGGATATAATTAGCACGGGTATGTAACATTAGCCTCGGCACATAGACGTGGCAACACCATGGCTTCCGCTAGGAACATCATGTACGAATAGTTGGTTTTCCACATCTATGTTAGATCACAGAAAGGCAGCCATCAAACGGAGGTTTCCTAAGTTATGGGGGTAACCCAAATCATGCAAGTCATGGATGACCATGACTTAGTATTGAAACGCGTGGTGACGATTGGGGACCTCCCATTGTAAGAACCTCTATATTCTCATTATTAAGCCGAATACATTCCATTGTTAAATTATATATATACAACTACAAATGGACTATAACAATATATCTATATCTATACATATATATATATAACTATGGTTATTCACCAGTTGCTAAGTCCGAGATATCCCATATCAAGTTGGCGACAAAAATCCCACATCCCCATGATTAATCACAAAAAAACATGCATCCTATGATGGTTGGTTCATCCCGCATTATCCATGGCTAAGTCAACCACAAAAACCTCATATAATATACAGTATATGATAGATACACCAACCATAGTGTGGTTAAAACAATGTCATATTTTTACCACTCATTTTTTTGGGGAATGGTAAGTTTCTACCACCTATATATTTATGGTGATGACTGGGGGATGGTAAACATGGCATTGTTTTACCCACATTAACAGGATTCACCAACCACTATTTTCACAACGTTTCATCAAACAGCCAGCCTCGGAGCAGCCCAAGCCGCGGTCGACGTCCAGCCACCTTAAAGGGACGTCAATGCCGCTGAAGAAATAGTGACTGAACATATAAGATATGGATATGGAAAAATAATTATTATATCATAATAATATACCTTATAATTATTATTTATGGAATATAAGATATGATTATCATATACCTCATAATTATTATAATCTCATATATCATATATTCTGGAACAATAAGATACAATTGATATAATTGATATAATTGATACCTCATCGGAACATACATGGACATATGGCAGTGATAAATACAATGACATATAAACCTGCTGTAAGCTACATAAATTTATGACGAGAAATCATCGAACTGTCAACATCGAGGATCATCCTGGATATATCTGGCGGATGTAACCCTGCTTGCTTGAGTCCGTGGACTTTATCCATTGATAAATGGCTTAAATTAAAACCTCAGCAATTACTAGCTGGTTGGTGGTTCCAACCCCTCTGAAAAATATTAGTCCATGGGAAGGATTATCCCATATATTATGGAAAAGAAAAAATATTTGAAACCACCGACCAGCTAGGCAGCAAACCTGATCATCTGCGCCCCCTTTCCGCTGGGCTGGGCCGCGTGGTGTCAAAGAGAAAAGACAAGGAGGACGACTCTTGAATGGCCCCAAGGCCGTTTAGATCCACCCTGCGGTGCAGGAAAACTGGAAAACCCCGTTTAGCACGGAGATTTGTTGAATGTCATGGGAAAATCTTAACCGGAAACCATGGTTTTCACCATCAAATTGGTTGGGGTTTCCTGTAAATTTTCCCATCATCCAATTCTGTGAGTCATGGGATATATTGTAAAAACGGATATGGCTGAATCTAAAAAATGGGGGATTGAGGCCTGGTATCATAACCGACTGGATTTTGTTCGGTCTCACTATGTTTGTTCATATCCTCATATGGAAAATATACCCCCTGGTAATGACTAACACAGCTATTGAAAATGGTCATTTATAGTTGATTTACCCATTAAAAATGGTGATTTTCCATAGTTATGTTAGTTACCAGAGGGTATGGAAATTAATGTGAATATGAAACTAAAAACTAGATTTGGTGCTTAAATCTCACACAACCCACACGGTGAAGGCCCTCGCGCGGTTCACTTGCTTAACTCTTGGATTGTTGTTTGGGGAATCAAACTGTGACTGGTTATGTAATGGGTTCATATATCAATCAACATAACTGGAGATAGTTAGATGTTATCCATCTATAGATATATAGATGAATATTGATAGATATATAATGATATACATGTATGCCATTATATGATTATATACATATATATATACATATCTGGGTAAATTATATTATTTCACTAACCTGAATTAAGGCCAAATGGGGATGATTTCCCTATAAAAACCATGATTTCCAGGGCTCGGTCGCAGTGAGGTCATTATAATTTACCCAGATATACTGGGGGTCTCACCGTGCAACAACCACCAGGGCTTTAACAAAGCTGTCTGGGCACCACTGACGTGGGCCAATCCCAGCTGTACATGTCGTAGCTGTTGCTGCCGATCGTGAGCCCCTCAGTCCAACTCGGAAAACCGCAAGAAGGAAGATAAACAATGCTTATAATGAGGGTTTGTATGGTATGGTATATAATATAATATATATATATACTATATAATATATATATATATACACAATATAATATATATATACTATAATATATATACAAATTTCATATATCATATATATACTATATATATACATATATCATATATATACATATATTCATACATATAAATACACACAATGTATATATATATAGTGGTTTCATGAGGATCTGATGGTGATTATAAATATGTGTATAGTTTTCAGCAAACATTCACCAACCATTTGAAAGCTCTGCCAGGGAAGGATTCCCCGAATCCTAACACCTTCATTCCAGTGATTACTGGCCGTGAGGTCGTTACATTGAAAGATGTGATCCTCCCCCGATGTGTCAATTCATCCAGTGTATTATGCACACCAGCAAGATTTCAAACATCTGAAATATTGAATATTTTCATGTGCTGAATTCCACAAGTGCTTACTCCTGGAATCTCCTACTGTTGATGAACCGCACAGTTGGAAACCAGTGCTTGCACGAAAAAACGACCTGAGCATCACTGCAGCAGTCGATGCAGCTGTTGCAGAACTCTTACGGAGGAGGAATCTCCTCATGACACAGAACAATATCTTATTCATAACACACGGCTGCCATCCATGTCATGACATCTTGGCTTTGAAAAGATGCTCCAAAATGGACGGGGATGGATGTGGAATGCAGTGTATAGGTAGGAGAACATGCAACAATAAACCCCCAAAGACACACATCTCATGAAAAACTGAAAAGCTTCATGCGGAAAACAAGCAACAACGTCCAACCAACATCCAACCAAGATCCATAATGAGTGTGTTTGTCAAAATTATCAGGGGACTTTCCATCAATTCTTGGCTTAAAACCCATGGCTTTTCCCATGGGTTTTCCCCAAAAGTTGATCCATCGATCCATGGGGCGCATCCAGCAACCCATCTCCGGTGTCATCAAACATGGCAACCGGAAATCCACTATTTCCATGGGTTTTTCCATGGGAAAAGCCATTCCATGGGAAAAGCCATGGTTTTCCCGTGGGTTTTCCCATGGTTTTCCCACCCTGGGTGCGTGACATAAGGGTAGTGCGACTCAACGGTCACCGCAGTGTCATAGGCCACTTTCGGGTGCAAGGTCTCGTTGGAAGTCAGGCCTGACTAATGTCTGTGTGAGTTTACGCCGGGTGAAGGATTCAAGGGTAATCCTTAATATATATATATACATATACTGGTTGGTGGTTTCAACCCCTCTGAAAAATATGAAAGTCAGATTGGATCATCATCCCAGCTATTGGGGACAATAAAAAATGTTCCAAACCACCAATCAGTATATACATATATATATGTATATATGTATGGCAATCAGCTCCATGACATATAGAAGTGTATATGGTGACCTTTCTACTGCAGTTTTTTTTGTATGGTAATCAGCTCCATGGCTTGCCATAAAATTTTCGCTGCCGAGTCACGCAAAAAAAAGGACGCTGGGTATATCATATTTACCACTATATATCCCAATGATATTCTCAGGACAAATGGGGGTTTCCACGGGTTTCCTGACATGGGGGTACCCATTGAATGGATAGTCTGTAGTGGAACATCCTATTGAAATGGATGATTTAGGGGTACCCCCATTTTAGGAAACCTTCATATGTATATATAACTTATATATAACCCATATTTCTTCCCATATATAAGTGGCTACAATATTTTAGGAAACGTCCATATTCCCATGCAACCCAAGGTTGGAAGGCCAAGAAGGTGAGAATCCCTCCCCATATTCGCAAAAGAACAAAGGAAAATGGTGATTTAAGCCACAACAAATGGGGATTCAAGGAGATTTATAGATATTTATAGCTGATTCATGATAGCTAAGTTGACGCACATCGGCGAACGATGTTTTTTTTTGGATATAAACTATGGTTTATAGGGATATAGCTATAGTGAATGTGGTTTATAAACCAAATAATCATTAACTACAATGTGAGGCCCCCGTTCGATAGCGTTCAGTTGGTGCAAATAACTCCAATTTCACTATGGTTTTTGTTGGTGATGTATCGAACTAGTATTCATGGGGTGATCATAAAACATCATAAAACCATAGTTCGTCTAGTGATGTGCGTCAACTTAGCTCACATTGTAAAATGGTACCTCCAAAAATCATCCATTTCGGACCTCGATTGGAAACCCATGGGCACCTCCTGGAATGTCTTGCTGGAGGCCTCAAAAAAGTCAGTGACCGGCGAGCTGGGAAATCCTCAACAAATGGGCATCTATATATATATATATATTTATGTATTTTATATATGTATATGTATATATATATATATTTAGTTGTATATCTATATATTTATGTACATATATATATATGTATATATAATTTCTCGTAATATCTTGTATGGGAGAGTCATCTACAATAAGTTCAGGCTGGGAAGATTTCCCGAGATTTCCCTCCCGGCATCCTCTGGACCGCACGACGTGCTTTCCATGGTCTAAGTGGGGTACCCCTTGATCGCTGGATGGTTCTAAAAATGATTAAAATCACCAGATTTAATAGGGAACAATAGGGAACATGATCTTTAACTGGTTGGTGGTTGAGCCTACCCTCTGAAAAATCATGGAGTTCGTCAGTTGGGAGTATGACATTCTCAATATATGGAAAAGAAAAAGTGTTCCAAACCACCAACCAGTCTAAAATGGATGATAACTGGGGGTAGCCCTATGACTTAGGAAACCCCAGAAATAGCTGGGAAAATGATCTATAACTGGGTTATTTTCCAGCAACCATGTTTGATCAGTTCGACTGCCGGAGAATATTCACCCTCAAACCATCAGCCGCGAACTGCGGATGTTTTGATGTCTTACATCACCCGGTTCTGGGAAGAAATCGCTAAGAGTTTGTGGTTTTGTGGCTTTGCCACTTTTTCAATACCACAGACTTCGATCGTGTTCTTTTGTTGGCCGTTCCATTCGGCTATGGAAAAACGCAGCGATTGAGCAGAAAAAGGATGCGTGCACAGAAACAGCCCCATCCAAATGGTAATAACTTCAAGAACATCCGAGAGTTGACGCAAAGCCATCTGTCTGTTCTTGTATCCCATTGTAGATCTCATTAAGTCTTGTTTCAATGGAAATTCCAGGGTCCTAAATTGGAGGTATTGTACCATATAAGGCCATATTTTGTGGGGATATTCCCTTACATAGGCCTTACATAGGCCTTATATATGGTAGGTACCTCCATTTTAGGATCCTGAAATGGCCAGTGATTGTTCGTTATGTATCATCATTTTTCGGGTATACCATTGGATACCGCCTGTTGCACGGCAAGCACCCATCTGAACAGCGGAAAAAAACCCTGTGCGGTGTCACCAAAAACTGGTTGAGAGTGGGATTCCCCGTTCATGGATTACGACAATCCCACATATATTGGACAGTACAAGTATATAATGCCATACAATCATCAACCAACCATGATTTGTCAACTTTATCCCAACTATATCTCCAGCTTCTGATGGTTAAAAAAAACCCGAAGTATCCTATTAATGACAGTTAATCATAGTTAATCAAAAACCCGAAGTATCCTATTAATGACAGTTCATCATCAAGCAACAGGGATTTTGAACACTGAAACGGCTGAGAGCAGCACTTGTGTGATATCCCACGGAGATCTCCATAGGCGTCTCCAGAACCAACCGTTGGATCTGGGCGTCTTTGTTGAGTCCCTTCAATAGCTCGGTTTACAACTAGGTTAACTGGGGTTTATAGTGGGTATATCTGAATGTGTGTATATATATACATATATAAAATAATCAATAATAACAAATAATCATAAATAGTAGTAAATAGTAAGAATAATTCATAATAATAATTCATAATAATAACACCAATAATAATAAATATACATATCTATATGTCGTGAGATGAACCAATAAACCCACAAACATAAATGGGAGGGGCGCTTAGATGGTTGTTCATCGAGAAAAGCACAGCAACATCGAATATTCGAGCATATAACGTGATGTCAAATGTGCCATGGTCCAGCTACATGGGCCACATGGGTAATATTGGGCATGGCCATGCAACCATCATGAATGGGTTGTTCATCGAGATTTTCACCCCTATCGTTGGGGGATGACCATCCCCGAAATTTTGGGAAAATCATCTAATTTTTGATTGTAGTTGGTGATATATATATATATATATGTATAATTATATATATATAAATAATCTAATATAATATATATATATATCCCATTACATTCCACTGATATCCCATTAAATCCTCCTGTTTAATGATGACCATCCCCTTGTAATGGGAAAATCATGGAAAATCAACCATATTTTGACCATGGCACAGTCTGCATTGGCTCACTGCAATTCTGAGGCAGGTCCCATGCGCCATGGTGTTAGCTGACTGGTTCATGGGTTATATCAGTCATATCCTCTTGCAATTGGCTAATCATGGCTTATAAGCTGCTTATTCACAAGTTAACTACTAAGTCCATGGCCCATCTGTGTATGGTCCAAACACAACTACCTGGAATGATCTAACACAGGTTGTAGTTTTTGGTATGTTTTTAGCACTTACATACCCAACCACGTTGAGCAACACCAGATACATTGCCATTTCTCCAACCAAGACTTTGAGTCTTTACACAGCCTTTGTATAGTTCACCCAATTTTTAAGTAAAGCATTTCTTGGTGGTTCACCCCAGCTATAACTGGACAATCACCCTACTTCTTGCTAAAAAAACATCTAAAATCGTGGTAATCACTGTACATGTTTTTATTTCTTTTGGGGCACCAAAAAACATCTACACCCTAAGAAAAAAAACCATCGGGGTTTTTGGGGGTTTCACCTCGCAGGCGAAAATCCAGCAATAGCTCCATGAATTTCCAAGCTACAATCACCATCTATATAGAATCATTGTAATCATTTTAGCCATTACTGTAACCACCGTTAAAGATCAGACAAACCTCCCTTTTAGTCCGATGGTTTTCCCAGCTATATCCACAAGGTGGTGCCCCCGCCCAGTTATAACTGGATTAATCTCTTCTCCCTATTACTAAAACTCCCCCAATTAATAAAAATAGGAGTGGATTGCCACTTTCGGATTCTTTCGGTTGCTCACAATTGCGTTCTGGTAATTGAAAATCAATAGGAGAATAGGATGGTGAAATGAAGGTGTGTACCTCCTATTAATAAAAATAGAGCAAGACCCGTAAGTTTAGAGAGCAGGACGCTGTGGGAGTGCACTTTTTTGACATTTTTCATTGGCTTTCTTTGGTCTCCATACCATGCTGCCATGTGTCTTGACATCTATACAATCTCACTCAAGTGCTACTCATGCATCCCTCTCAGTACCCGTTCACGTAAGAGCAAAACTGCAGGTAGACCAGAATGTGACCTATACATAGCACCTACTTCTTCATGACCTTTTTCATGAACTTCCCCTTGAAGTGTTTCATATGGTTTTTGACCTTCATGATGCCTTTCTTGTTGCTCGTCTTGCGCTGCTTGGGGGAACAACCATAAGCCTTAGATTTGACCTTCTTCTGACGAGTGTGCTCGATGCTGCGAAGGTATGAGGCCTGTCCATGTAGAAGGGCTTCATCGTGGCGTTTCGCATAGTAAAACAAAATAAACCTGTGACGAAGTTTCTTCATTTCATTGCAGGTGGGCGCATGGTTTCGAAACCAGCTGAAGACCTGCTCACAAATGTTGCCATTGATCTTTGCCATGAGTTTCGCAAGCGGTTTCTTGAAGCCTAGGGACCAGGATAGGAACACAGAAAACCAAAGTTCTGCAAATGATCAACAATGCACGCACCAGAGAGAAGGCTTCGCAAATCACCATCCATTTTGAGGAAGAAGCCTTCGCGGACCTGCAAGGCGAAGAAATGCGCATTCTCAGTGATTTCTCAGCATCATGCACAATGTACTTGCCGTCTGGCAGGGACTTTGGGTCGATCAAGTTGCACAGCTGCAACCCCCAAAGGTAAGAGAAGAGTATTCCCAAAGGAGATTGAGAAGGGGCCATGTGATGGGCACGAGATAGGCAAGCCAAGATTCTGCAAGGATGCAATCAAACAAGTGTTCATGTAGGAAGCACCACCGCTGTTGTCTGCGTCAAGTTCACCTTCATCAAAAGCTTCTCCAACAGGGGGAAGCGACTCAGCATCTTGGCTGGATGCAGCAGCTGTAGAGGCGCGGGGAGGTGTGTCACTGAGATCAATGAACGTTGAAGAAGACGAAGCTGATGGAAGCGTTGCCCAGGAAACTCTAGCTTCACAGGGATAGGCTTGAAACCAGCAGGCGCAGGGACGGCTCCATCAGCACGAAGCAATGCATCAAGCATTGGTGTCGAGGACTGTGGTGCTGGAGCTGCTGCAGGTTCAGGAGCGTCATGTTTGCGGAAAGCTTCCCGGAGCCATTCACTTTCCCAAGCAACTCGAGTTTCATAGTCATCAGGCATGGGGCCTCCTGCCTTCATGTTGGCAATGATGTGTTGGCAATGATCGCCGCAAGGACACTTCAGACGCTTCACATCAACCTCCTTTTCCGTAGGGAAACGGTAGTAGATGAAGTTCTTGGTGAAGACCATGAAGGCTGCACGTTTCAGAATGGCTCTGGCATCAGCATTGGCAATGTAGTCCAGTGCAGGCTTCACCAACTTCATGAAAGCAGTGTGCGAGATGAAGTCTTCCAAGGGAACCTCTGGGGGCTCATCAGCAGGATCATATTGGTTGTCGAGCACGATTCTCAGTTGATGCTGCACGAATTTCGCAGCAGTCCATCTTTCCTTGAGGATAGTTTCCTGGTCGCCAACGTCACTAAAGGCCTTCTTCTTTTTGATCAATTCTCCCCCAATCTCTCCATCATCGTAGAGAGCAGGACAGGTTTTGTCAAAGAAGACGCCTCTGAAGAAGTCGAAGTCACTGGCGGATCTGAAGGTGCCAGTGCCTCCATGAAAGCGTGAAAACATCATGGCAAGCATTCGGCCTAAGGGGGTCTTGCCAACACCAAGCTCGCCAAGGAGCCAAAGAGCATGGCCTCGAAGATGGGGAATAATTTTCTCAAAGTGTTCAAGGACATCAGGCTCAACGGCATCAATGGTGAGGTCGTACCTGGAGATGACGGCTGCCATGGTGCCATCATTGGCCAATGAGCCCAATGCCTTCTGCACAAGCTTTTTATTCCAGCCATGGATGGGGCTACCATCACGGTTGATGTTGCGGTGAATCCATCTGAGTTGTTTGAGCTAGCCCTTATCGCGTCCTCCATGTTGGATGATGTAGTCCCAGCCAGCATCTTGTTCCTCTTCATTTGCAGGGGGACGGCCTGTGATGACTTTACGCTTTTCAACGCTCAAAGAGAAACGGCGGAATTGGTTGCCACCGAGTTGTTCCAGCATGTGCTGGAATCCCCTCCTTGCCTTATGCTTGTTGACACCTCCCCATGAGATCTCAAAACCCCGACCCTTGACCAAGCGCTACACACTGTCCTTTGACTTTGTCTTCCTTGATGTAGAAATGTTTGACAATGCAAACCTTTTCATCAACCTGTGGAAGGAGAAAGTACTGACTCGCATACTCGATTGCATGACGTCAGGAAGATCACCCTAAGCTTGATCGCCGATGATAGCTTTCAGGTTGTTCGCATTGACCAGGTTGGGATCCACATCATAGACAATGTCGACGACGTGCTTAATGGCTGGACTGTTGGGGTTGATCCTAGGAAGAGGCGAGAAAGACAGTTGGAAAAAACATGGAGTAGAAGATGTACACGGTCCCTATCGACCCAAGAGGGATGAAAATACAATGGAAACCTCTATCACATGCACAGATTGAAAGCCGGCGTCTCAGGATTTTTCCGGTCTCACTCGGACAAACAGTCCAAACTCAAACTTTGCCTTGGGTTTTTGTTTCGCTTTCCACTCTTGCTTTGTGTCGGCCTTTGTAGCAAGTCAACTGAGCCGTACCACAACCATCCCCATTGAGAACAGCAGCAACGCACTGTGACACGGGGTCTCAACCAGAACTTGCAAGCAGAACTTGACACCGCCTTTTCCTGAACTTCTTCCTTTGGAGTTTTAACCTGCAGTTTTTAAAGCCATCATTAGTACTGGAGCACAACTGCCTGACATCTTGTCTTCAACATAGTCCAAAAGACAAGCTAGTCGAAAAATCAGACAAATAAATACAACAATCAACATTCATAGCTGTTCAGACACAACCTGCTTGGAATCTCGAACTCAAGCCGATATCTTATGAAAAACTATTCAATAAGGGATGCCTTCTTGTCGTGAAACAAAGCCAGAAAAGAAGGGACAACAGAAATGTCCCTGTCAATATCTCCATGCTGAAAGGGTAAAACAATGGCCTGAAGACATTGCAGAAATTCACACAGCATCCTTTCAGCAACACCTAAGGGATATCGCAATACATCACCATCGCAGAAACCTTTGAACGAAATCATACTGCTGGCAACCTGGTCAACAAAAACGCAACCAAGCGACACGTCTCCATACCTGCCGACAAAAACAGAAAAGATTGGAACTTGGACCCTTCGAATCCCTTGGAGCAACCCTATCAGCACAGAGATTCTGTGCTTCTGCCCCCACACCCACCTTGCGTGGTGCCCAGTATTGAAATCCCGGGACGCCACCTGACCGACAAATGTGATCAGTTCAAGCAGAACAAGTGAAACAGAATTCACGTCCAGCCTGTCGCATTTTGGCGCCAAGAGGATGGCGGCGTCATTGCAACCTCCTTGCCTCAGTTCCAGCAAAAAAAACAACAAAAACATACAAAAACTAACTATATAATCACTTTCTGATGGCCGCAACAGAAAAATTAGCTGAAAGCTCAGTGGAGACTTCAGTCTGTCAAATTTGAGAAGGAAACCCATGGGGGTGTTGGAAGCTGGGAGCCATCGGACCTTCAGGAGTCGTGCTCTGCTTGGGGCTGGGCTGTGACTCACAGGAATCTCGGGCGACTCCAGCAGGGCAGCTGATGAACTTGCGGATTCAGATCCAGAATTGCAGGCTTTCATTGGGCTTTCATGGTCGGACTGGTTTTCAACAGAGTACATCACCACACCATCAAAGATCATCAAAGCAATAGGAATAGATACTCCAATTTTGTGAATGTATATATTCATTTTGCATCACTATTTCACCACAAGGTACTACAAGTTTTTGTGCGAGGAGGAAAAGTACTGAAGGATTGGCGAGGGACATGAGTGCTGCTTCGAACTCACCAAAGGCATTGGACAAAGATTTTGAGCATGTTTGCAGCGATCCTCCAGTTTTGTGCTTCGCACATTGGATTGCTAGATCAAATCCCAACAGAAATCAGCAGCGCGGAGATTTCTTTTTTTCTGGCGAGAGGCAGTGCTCCTGGACATCCAGCGTTCAATAGGGAATTTGGACAAAGAGTTTACCAACGTTTACAATGCAACAAACAAAAACCTAACCTTACATAAGTCGACAAAGAATAAGGGATCATCTTGAAGTGATTTACGGGAAAGTCTCCAGATGGGTAGAAGAATATGTGTGATTGCCCGAGGTGTTTTACCTAAGGATGCAACTCCAAGCCGTATTCAAAACCCAGCGAAATAAACTGGAGATCGGTGGAGCGAGTCTTGCAGCATTGCAAAACTCTTGCTGTAGCTCCAAGCAAACCAAAATCAGTGCTGGGCTCGCAGTATATGTTTTTTTATTCAGTTATGTGATGTGGCTCAACTGTAAACAATATCAGATCCTATCTAAGGGCCTTCAATTTAGGCCAGACACAAGGCCAGGGCAAGCTAAAGCAGGGAAGTCAAGTACACATGCCCCAAACCCAAAGGTGCCTCCTTCGCTGCTGGCAATCCACCTGGCATTGGCTCTCGGATGGCTGCCGTTTGCCAAGATCTACACTTTCTATCATGTTGTAGTTGAATTCAATGTTCACGATCTGAAAGCTACACTGTCAAGTTGCCAGGTGTACGATGATAGCTTGCCCTGAAGTATTCAGACAGTTGTGAAAGGATTGTCGCTTCTGGATGCATCCAGAATGAATCTTGATTCTCGCGATCGGTCTAGTGTATCAAGAATGCTTGTTCTGCTGTCATGCCAATGTTTCTGGGCACTCAAAAAGGATATGAACATAGGGACAAGAAACTCCTTCAGAGGCAGCGTGAGCGGTGTCATGATGCCTATTGGAAGGCCCCACATGGACATCAGTAGCTAACTCCCTCAAAGTCAGGTGCTCTGTGGCCTCAATAGCAGCCGACAACGAGAGATCATCATTGGGATCCGCCATTGACACCGACCGAAGGAGGTGCGAAGCAGGAGCGAATGAGGCCGGTGCTTGAGAGCAGAAGTGCAAAAACTAGCTGCAGCAGATGGGTCTTGTCACTTTGTTTTTTTACTCTTTTTGCCTTTTTCGGTTTTCCAAACATTATTGGACAATCAAAAAACAAAAACACAAAAACCAAGATTGCACACCCCAAGGAGGGGGGTAGTGGCAGAGAGTTGGGTCTTGTCATTTTTTTTGATTTTTGGGTTTCTTGGTTAAAAACCAAAGAAAACAAAAAAACAAAAACACACAAGAAAAAACACATTTGCACACCGCAAGGGGGGGGTAGTGGCAAAGAGTTGGGTCTTGTCAATTTTTTTTTGTTTTTTTGTTTTTTTTTGTTATTTTTGTTTCTTGTTTTTTTTAAACATTTTGTTTAGCCAGTGCAGGAAAGCCAAGCGGAAATTGTCAATGGCTGCAAAGCAGTGAGAGAACCATCGCAGATGTGTAGTGTCAGTGGTTGCCGAATGCAGTGAAAAACCGCACTCCCAGGGTGTCTGTCCCCTTCTGTAAGTTTATTATTAGGGTCCCATCAACTTTGAAATCATGTTTTTTATTCTTTTTATAAAGGTTTTAATTTGATTATTAGGGGAAAGCTTCGAAATCCAATTTTTGGCATCAATATTTTAAAGGGATTTTAAAAAGGGACTTAATTGATTTTGAAAACTTTTTTTAATGAAGGTTTTTGTTTCATTATTAGGGGAAAGCTTCGAAATCCAAATTTTGACAACATTTTCCTTAAAGAGGGCTTTAATTGATTTTGAAATCGACATTTTCATTTTTTTAAAGGTTTTTGTTTTATTCTTAGGGGCACCCTAATACTAAATACCCCCTAGTAATAAAAATAGATCACCGTGTTTAGCATTTGGGGGGGTTTTAGTATTAGGGAGCAGAGATTATAATCCCATTAACTATAGATATATCACCTACAAAAACCATAGTTATGATGTCATTGGACTTATAAACCAACTTAGGGATTCCTATGGGGCACCAGCCTGCAGCTATAAACCTCCATTGATAGTCCGGACTTTCGGGCAGCCCTGGAGCCATTGGCGTACCTTCATGGCTTGGGTAGCTGATGACTGCTGAAAGTTGATGTCAATCTAGGCCGCGGAGCAGGTGCGGCACGAAAAACATGGTGGTTTGTGGGCGAATGACCACATGATTCATTTACAACATTCAGATATTACATGTCCTGTCTAAGTAGGATTTATATGGATTTATCATGATTATGGGTAAACAATAATATTTAACTCACCTGAAAAGTTGGGCCACACACTTCCGTTCGGTCATGCCAGCCCGCAGCTAGCTCAGCTGATTCCCCTTACTAACCAACAAATTCCTGTGAGGTCACGGGGTAAGGACACTATGATTTACCCGGATGATTCATGATGATTCATTTGATGAATCCTCCATCGGATCTGAAAACAACAAACATCGGCTGAGATCTGGACCGCATCCAGCTGTGCTTTGAAGGGACCACTCACGGGGAAGTGGTATCTCTCCTGGTCAGATCTCATGGTGAAAAGCAGTGCAGTACTTTTGAACGCCAGGAGAGCGACCAAGTCCGACCATACCACCAACACAAGTCCAACGCGCAATGATTTGAACTGCGAAGTCCCAATTTTTAATAGAATAATGATCTACAATCAGGAAGTGTAACTGTCCACTACGATAACTTGTTTTCTCTTGAGAAAAGTGCTTGTGTGTCTGAAAATGCGATGCCCCCTGCTTAACACCACAAGTTGGGGTTAATCCATCGTTTTCACACACACAAACTTTATACTTATTAGCACATATGCCCACTATATCATTCACAGATAGCCATCATATCATATCATATTACCCTAAATCCACATTTTGGTGTTTAAATCCCAATTTTCCACACATGTTAATTGATTTTTCCATCGTTATATCCCAGTTTTGGTTGGTTAAATCCCAATTTTCCACCATTTTTCATTGATTTTCCTATTCCAATTTTGGGCAGTCAAATTACAATTTTCCCAAAGTTGTCGATGTACAGCACCCAGACTCTTCACACACTGTCGTCCTCATCGAGCTCCAAAATCATGTCCGTAGAGCTCTGGCGAAGCGATTGGGGGATGTGGCTGGGATATTTGTCCAATCCTCTC